CCCCCCCCTCAACTCTTTTAAGAAAAAAATTAAAGTGTTTTCTTCTCGGCTTTTTTTTTTTAACGAATATTGCGGTCTGTGTCTTGTTCTATGTCGGAAAATACATATTATTCAATGATACAATGTTTGAGGTTTGTTTAAATTCGTTAACTAAACTTGGAGAGTTTTAATGAGTGATCCGATTCGGTCACTTGGTTTTCCTAGAATCTTCCGGAACTCCTTGATAGACACAAAATGGCTCTCAGTGTTCCACAGAACACAAAACGATATTTGTTTTCCAGCGTATAGGTGTATAAGAATCTAGTTTCAAATATGTTTAAATTTCAAAGTGATCGGTTCTAAACGTCTTGGTTGAAAATGGTTGCGATGTGTGTTTTACAGCCTTGAAGTTAAAGATAATAGTACTCGTGGATAGATGCTCTATGTTCTAATAATGCGTTGATTAGGACAGGGGATCCCAAAAACGTTTCGTAGAACAAGGCCTTCCAGAACATTCCACATCATGACTGAGCCCCCCATTCCATCCGAAACTTTCTTGTGGCTCCCAGTTTGAAAAACCACTGGATTGGGATATATATATATATATGATGTTCAAATAATGCATTGGGTGCTGAATAGGGTATATATATGTTCTAATAATTTGTTTTTGAAAATGATTACGTAAATTAATATACATGCAAACATTTTCAAATACGTACATATAAACGTTACCCGTTGAATCTGTGCCGCGTATACTAACATTTGATTGGTTGATATAGAACTAGACATTATTTTCGGTTTCAGCTTAAGTTTATAAATTTAGTAAGAACCATATCGTACAAGTGATTTTTTTTCGGTTTCAGTTTGCATAGCTTAAGTTTATAAATTTAGTAAGAACCATTTCATACACGTGATTTTTTTCGGTTTCAGTTTGCATAGCTTAAGTTTATAAATTTAGTAAGAACCATTTCATAACGTGATTTTTCGGTTTCAGTTTGCATAGCTTAAGTTTATAAATTTAGTAAGAATCATATTATACACGTGATTTTTTTTTCGGTTTCAGTTTGCATAGCTTAAGTTTATAAATTTAGTAAGAACCATATCATGCACATGTTGTTGTTTTTTTACTACGTTCCCACACGAAACTTAGGTTTAGTGTTTCCATGCATTCTTTTAGTGCAAATAACAGCCATTCCAGGGTTGTATATTTGTTCACATGACTTCCTCCTAACCTTCACCGTTGTGACTTTAGGGAGAGCGACCCATTGAAAATATGACAGTGTAAAAAATGAGATCACCCTGTTTTAGGAGAACAGGAATTTTGTTTACAAGGTTTGGGAATAGAAATATAGTTTGGGAGAGGGGGGGGGGGTGTTATAAAAGGAACTTTTTTGGAGGGTCTTAACCAGACATACCGAAAAGTTCGTCCGCATTGTTGCCGAATGTAAAAGGCACTTGACCTTGTGTGAGTCAAACAAATTATACTAGAAAACAAACAGAGATAATATCAATTTAATTCTTAGCGATTCGTGACCTTATCATAGAAAACAAAAGCAAATAAGTCTGAAGGAAAGCGAGAAAAGTAGGAGCATAACGTGGCTACGCACAACGCTTTGTACTCTTGGTGAACAAGGTAGGAGCATAACGTGGCTACGCACAACGCTCTGTACTCTTGGTGAACAAGGTAGGAGCATAACGTGGCCACGCACAACGCTTTGTACTCTTGGTGAACAAGGTAGGAGCATAACGTGGCCACGCACAACGCTTTGTAATATTCGTGAACAAGGTAGGAGCATAACGTGGCCACGCACAACGCTTTGT